GTAGCTTTATTAAAATTTTAGGTAACTATAATAACCCTGCAATGCAGTTGTTATAGTTGTAGTGTGTTGCTATGAGGTTATTAGGGTGTTCTTAGAGTTGTTAAAACTTAGAGTTAATAAAACTAAAACTAACTTCAGTTGTAGGCACGCTTGTTATTTATAGCTGCGAGATAGCAAAATGTTACTATGGTTATCCTATGTCTAAGGTCATTTTAGGGTTTAGTGCATTCACTTTTTCAATTCACAACAAAACTTTTTTGTTGTCCACCATTTGTAAACGATTGTTTACAAAGGTACAAGAACAACTCTCCACTAGCCATACAATTTTATTCATATCCATACCACAAACGGCCACACTAAAGTTTAAGACTTAGGGTTAGGGCTTTTCACTAACCATAAGTATGAATAGTAATAGTGCCTTGGTAAGCACTCTTATAGGAAGAGAAAAAGAAAGCTGCACAGTCGACAATTTACAGCCTGAAATGAGTACCACCTGAGGTCTGTGGTTATACTTTACTGTAAAACACTGATGGAAATGCACTGCTGCATAATGTAACCTGTAAAATAAAGGTTTTACTGGACAGACAGCAGATGCGCCACCCCACTGCTTGGGGATTTCAGGTTGTTCTGCTTAATACAAACTGTACTTCAATTATCCAGTGTATATGTGAAAACGGATAGAATTGCAGCAGAAGTATTCTGGCTGGACGAGGTGAATGAGGGCACCTGGGTAAGAATGAACACTATGGACACACACAGAGGCCTCAGCAAAGCTTTATTTGTCTTTCTAGTTTGTCTTGGCATTTTCTCTGGTTTGTTTCCAGCGAGATTCAATGAAAGGCCACTTCAGCGCTCGCCACAGATAGCAGCACCTCTAACCTGTTACGCACTATAGCGAGAGTGTGAAATCTGTGGGGCCATTATGAGATTTTCTGCAGAACTAGATAACTGTGATGTCTTGTGTTTGGACACGTGTAGCCATGATTGTGTTAACAAAAACCGGGGCTCTAGAGCACTTGACACAGCTCCATAGACCCCAAAATGGTGTAGAGTTACTGAGCGACTATGGAAAGAATAACAGCCTGCCTTACCAAACCAAGCAAGAGATTTTACACATCAGCTGTGGGATATTTTTTACCCAATTTTAAAGGTTATCCTGTAGTTATACACACCGTTTATTTTGGCATATCACTACAATCTAATCTAGACAATTGGATTTTTAGTATTCTCAATGTTAAATAAAAACTAGTGCTGTCAAATGATTAATCGCGATTAATCGCACCCAAAATAAAAGTTTTTGAGTACATAACATATGTGTGTGTTCTGTGTATATTTTTTATGTATATTTAAAAGCACATACATACAGTATATATTTTGAAAATATATACATGTATTTACATGTA